GGTATTCTTTAAGAAGGCAGAAGGAAGAAGAAAAAAGTAAAGATAAAAATTATGAACAACAAGTACATATCTATCAAGAAGTGAATCTAAAAATCAGTGAATAAAAAATCTAATAAACAGAATAAACTGGTGAACAGAATAGAATCAGGGGCACAGAAAGGGAGTGGACTGACTATTCTTGGAGGGGAAAGGGGTGTGCGGGATGCGGGAAGAGACTGGACAAAAATCATACACGTATGGATGAGGACAGTGGGAGGGGTAAGGGCAGAGGACGGGGTGGGAACCGGGTGGAGGAGAGCTATGGGGGAAAAAAGAGAAACAACTGTAATAATCTGAACAATAAAGATTATCATCCAAGAGGTACAGGGTTGAAAGGGGGAGCAGAGTCAGGACTCTGAAGATGACCCACTTTTTGAGGGTGGAGCCTATACCTTACTCAGTTTAGTCCTTCAGCACAGACCACACCAATGTCAATCATTTATCTGTTGCCAAGGACCTGATTTAACATTCACCAAGTGGCAGGAAGACAGCCGACTGGAGGCCGCCTCCATCTACGTAGGGCACCCTCGTTCTTAAGCTCATGGTAAGAGCAGAAGCCTCTGGATGTTGTTATACCCGACACAGACATACCTTTAGCACTTTATCCACCTCCTGTTTACTGAGATCTTCTCCACACTCTTGAGTCAGCCGAGACTGGATCATGTTCCGGCGTACTCGGTAATTTTTGGAGAAAATTTCAAGCAAAACCTGTCGATGCTTTAATAGCAAAAACATGTTATTATGGAAAGCAATAGATTAAAAGAGAAACATCCCCAAACCAGAAATCCAAAGCTATGTCCTCGCTCCACCCTCTAGTCTATGATCAAATCCTTGCTCACGGACTCTGGTGAAAGATGAACATGTTGGCAATTGGTGCTCTCTCAGACCCCAATAAAATGAAGACTCAAAATAAAGGTACATGCCCAAGAGAGCTGGTGAAAAGTTGGCAGAGCATAAGCCGTTGAGACATACTGATGCATAATAAGCAGGAGTGAGAGCTGATTTGGCAGGTGGGGAAAGAGCCATCTGAAGTACATGAAGGCAGAGGAAGGGTGAGGAATAAGTGGCTGAAAGTGCTGGCACACAGACATGACAAGGCATCTAGAAACAGGATGACCTGAAAGCATTACATCCCAATATAAAAACCAAATAGAAGAGAAGTGGAATGTCACTGAACAACAACTCTGAAAGCTGGAATGCAATGGAAAATGTCTTACATTCCGAGGGAAAATGATTTGCCCTCTAACATTCCAGCCCCAGACAGACAATACTACTTTGAGGACCACAGAGCCACTTTAAGGCGTGACAGAACACAGACAACTCCCTGACCCTGGGAAGCCAAAATGAATCGAGGAGGAAGACACAAGATTCCATAAGCCAGTCCCGCTGGAGAATCACACAACATTGGTATTACCATTGGTATCTGTGTAGGAAACCATGCAAATGGAAAACAGCCAGAGCATAATGCTGACATTTGGCTCTACAATGAACACATTTGCAGACACGATGCTGGAAGCACTGACACCTGACTGCCACGTTTTCCCAGCCCCTGACCATGTCGAGCTGATAAGTGACAGCCCCTGCAGGTAACTACCCCATTTGCTGGTAGTCGAGGAGGAGTGGCTCCAAATCGGGTCGGGCATAGACCCACATAAAGCTCAGTCTTACTGGATTTTTACATATGCACTTGTTACTTTATCAGAGTATTTCCAGAGTAACAAACCCAGAGACCACCTGCCTATTCTGTCCAAAGCACAGAAGGTTGCTCAGGGAGGTCATTCCAGACTGCTCCCCAACCACAGCCCATCAGACCCCCGTTTTATATCCTGCCTGCCTGCCAGCCAGCCCCCTTCTAAGAGGCAGAAGGGAGCCGAGAACTCAGTGGGTGCTCTTGCTCACTCCGTCCCCCTGACACCTGTGGTGTGAGCAATGAAACCTTAAAGTGCAGGCAGGTTGCTGGGAACGTCAGGGGTCCATGGCTGTACAGACAGTTTACTGGTTTCATTCATGTCTGGTCACTGGACCCCCATGACTGGAGGTGTGATGAGAGGAAAACGACCAATTTCTCTTAGAACCCCAGCACCCAAGACCAGGTAGGCATCCTTGTGATGCCTGCTGCCAGAGGCCCAAGCGACGGGTCCATCCCTGGCCTGCCAGCCAGCGGACGTCAGACCTCCAGAAAGCTGTGGAGCAGTGTATGCACCAGGACACGCCGTCCCCGATGAGCTGACTCGATGTTTCCAGGCCACTCCCACGCAGCTGGCCTCAGACTGGCACCCCCGCCTGTCTGACAGCAGCAGGCTGTTCAGATTGGGAGCAGCTGGAACACCTGAACTGTGATGCACGCGCAGCAGCAAAGGTCGCCTCACCTGATCACTCATGTCTCCAGACTCCCAGAGGGCGAACACCTTCTGCTCATCCGGGGAAGCGGCCGTCTGTGGGGGAAACTAACCGAGGCCCAGTGTGAGCTGGTGGCCTGTCTCCACCACGGGGACCCTCCCCGCCGGCACCAGTCCGGTTCTTGGGAGGAGGCCAGCCGCCCCCATCAGGGCCTTGGGGGCTGCGATGGCAGTGGGGAAGCGGCTCTTTTTCCCACTAGCCTGGCATTAGCTCACTCTGCTCTCCCATCAGCCTTCTCCTTCCCTGAATACCACCCTCAGATGTGTCCTGAGAAGCCTCCCCCACGACTCCCTGGGCACATGCCCGCCTCAGTCCCTTCCTCAAGGCTGTAGCAGGGAGGGGGTCTAGAGGTGACCCAGGCTCTGGGTACCTGGAGAAGGGGAGGCAAGGAAGGTGGCGCCTGGCACAGTTGGTACTACCCCATAAAGCCCCAGGCAGGGCTTTAAATACAGTCTCATTGATCTCATTAGAAACCAGAGGCAGTGAGGTGTGCGCCCCCCTCTCCACGAGGAAAAGCAGCTCAGAGGTTTACTCCTGCCTGGGGTCACATGGCTAAACTCAACTTGTCAAGTCACTCCCGTAAACCCACGAGGCTGGAGACCTGAGGTCTCTTCCCCCTCAGACGTGACTGTGACCTGGGCCCCTCGTCAGGGTCACAGGGAGGGAGGGCGATGGGTGAGCGGCTGAAAAGGCCGCAGTGTCCAGACACCAGCCCTCCCGAGAGGAAGCACGGCAAGAGCAGGTCCTGGGGTGAGGGGAGAGGAGACACCCCTCTTCGTGTCCCTCGCCTGTGTCCCCTCCAGCCACCCAGGATAGCCTGGCCCAGCTCAGAGAAGGGTGACCCCACAGATAACGACACCCATTTGCTGGGTGGTCAAGGAGGGGGCAGGGCCCCAGGTCCCAGCCCCTTCTGTATGAGACATACCCAAGGAGGCTCCTTGCCATGAGGGCCAACTCCCCTGGGACAGCCTAGCCACCCTGGCATCCAGGGCCTCTTGGCCTAGTTTCTGTTCCTCAAATAGAGAGACGGGCCTGGGCCTGAGCTCACCCAAGGCTGCAGGCGCTCTGACCTCGGACTGCAAACATCAACGCCCCCTCACTAAGAGGCAGTGCAGCCCGCCTCACCCTGCTGGCTGCCAGGTCCGGGCAGAGCCTGGGAGCTGGGAGGAGAGAAGAGCCAGCCAGCTTCCCTGCTTCCCCGAGGCCACAGCCCGGCACTCTCCACGCTCACGAAGGGGCTCCCCCGCCAGCGGGACCTGGTGACCAGCTCAGCTCATCTTAGCTGGAGCAGAAAGGACGTCGGAGCTGGAGCCACTATGCTGACCTTCAGAATCCAGCTGTCACCTCCTGGGCACCTGACCTTTAAACGGGCTCATCCCGCTTCTCTGAAACTCAGTCTCCTCATCTGCGGGGTGCGAGACCAGCGATACTAGGAATCACCCTAAAAAGGCCAAGGCTGACACGAGTGAGCTGAGGTGCCGGTGGGGGTGCTAGAAACCAGGGCGGGCAGTGAGGTGTACGCTCAGCATCTCATTCAGCCCTTGCCGAGTCCTGTGACACAAAAGCGAACTCGCCCTCTTTAGAAGAGGGTGCAGGGCCCAAGGCTGGCCGGCCCCAAGTCAGTGGTCTTCCCTGGTCCCCACGCCCCGTGCTGGCTCCCCCAAAGTTGGCTGGGCTCAGGCCACTCTGGAGTGACCAGACTTCTCTCTCGGGCCCCTTTCTACCCGCCCGCTCCCCAAGGGTGCGGGCCCCACTTACAGGCACCAGTATCTGCTTGCAGCCAGCGGCCAGCACCGTGTCCTGCAGCATTCGGTCCGAGATGCCACTGAAGAGCGTGTGGCCAGGGGGCAGGCTAGCCAAGTGCAGGTTGAAGAGGCGCTTAAGCTCGCTCAGCGTGAGCACAAACTGTCTCTGGAAGGTGGCCTCCACAAAGGCCCGCAGCTCCTGGGCCACTGGGGGGCTGGCACAGCTGGGGGGCGGGTGCCCATTGAAGCCATCCCCGCCTACGGCCCACCCCACAGGCAGCCCGTTGGTCAGCCTGCTGTGGAAGCCACCACTGGGTGAGGTGTCCATGGGCTCGCCCTCCTCCACGGCTTGCTCCTCCTCTTCCTCCCCCTCCTCACTCAGGGGCTCCTCCTTGATCTGCACACCAGGCAGGACCGCCGACGCCCTGACCTGCTCCTTTCTCCGCTGCAGCTCCCGTTCCAGCAGCATGTGGTTCTGCTGGGCCCTGCTCTTGGCTACTTGGACCCGCTGGTCCCCAGACACCAGCCCCGCAGGCCCTGTGCGGAGAGGAAGGCTGCTCAGGAGGGCACAGAGATCAGGCAGAGGGGGCCCACACCTCTCCACCCCAAGGACCATGCCTTCCATCCCGACAGGGGACAGGAGCAGTGCAGGCCAGCTGGGCTGCGGCAGGTGGCCCACCTTACCCAAGCGGGTTGAGCTATCCCAGCAATGAGGGAAGAAAGAACTGGCAAAACCAGCTTCCCACACTCAGAGCTCCAGGATGGGTTAGTGCTGAGCTCCTGCCAGGGCCTCCTCCTCCTCCTGCCTCCCCAAGAGAGCTAAGCGAGCAGGTGTCAGGGGCAAGTGCAGAAGTGCCTGGTCTGTGAGGCTGCAGCTCTGCCCACCGCAGAGGTTGGTGGGAAGGGAAGAGTAGGCCCTCCACTTGTGTTTGCTGAGCCAGCCCCCAGCCCACTGTGAGGTGAGGCCTGCCCACCCAATCGCCGCACACCTGATTGTCCATCCGGCTGTTTTGGCGTGGTTTCCTTCACCAGGTTATAGACTTTTTCTAATCTGAAAATAAGAGTCAACACTTACTCTAAACCACATCCCCATCGTCTCACCTCCCCAAACCCTGGGACAGCCTGGTGACTGAAGACGCCGTGTGCTGGGAGCACTGTGGTCCTGCCTGTGGGCCAGGCCCACTCCCCGAGCCGCTGCTCCGCCTGCCTGTGGGCACACAAGCCCTGGCGCTGGCTCCTGAGCGCTCCCCTTTCCCTTCACGTGACGGGCAGGTTCTGGCCACCACGAGTGGCGGTGTCAGGCCTCTGTGGGATTCTGGGGTCAGCCAGCAATGTCCACCTGAGTGGGAAGGGGGGCACACAGCCCCCCGTCACACCCAGGGAGCCCTTACTTGGCCTGGATGCCCGTCCACAGCATGTGCTGCCGCTGGACCACGTCGGGGTGCTTCCTGATGAACTCCCCGTCGTGCGGCAGGACGAACTCCCAGCCTCTGTTGATCCTCACCACGGCCATGTGCTCCAGAAAGTCCTTCACATCCTCCGCACAGAGCTGGGGGCGGGCAAGGGTGAGGCCGGCAGCCCCCATACCCCCAGCCCCCTCCCGCAGATGGAGAGCGTCACTTACTTTTGTCACTGTGGCCACCTCTTTCCTCACCACCCACCGGCTCTGAGTGAACTTCCACATCTGCGGGGAGAGAAGCATGTTCCCAGGAGGCAGAGGTGGTGCTCCTGAGATGGCCCCGAACCTGTGCCGCTGTCCTGGGAGTCAGGGCCAGGCACCCCGAGAACACTGCCGGCACCCCGAGAACACTGCCGGCACCCCGAGAACACTGCCGAGGCAGGCACTGAGGTTCTGGATAAGGGCAGGGGTGGGAGGGGAATGGAGATGACCAAGCTTGGGAGTTGCAAAGGCCAGGCGGCCAGGCCAGGAACTCGCAGGAGAGCCGTGCGCACTGGGAATCGTCAGCCCTGTCCCAAGTGAGTGCTGTTTGGCTGTGGGCCAGTCCCACCAGACTCTCCAGTTATTCACGATGAGCTAGAAATCTGGTCTGTATCATAATTGTGATTTGCAAAAGTCAACCCCCAAGGCAACATGTTAACACCACTCAAGCCAGTGAAGCTTGTTGGCCAGAATCCTCAGGTTTGCAAGCCTCGGCGAGAGGAACTCAAAGGTCTGTATAACTCCAGGACTCCAGAGCCCCTGCCCAGCCCTGCCCCGGCCCCACAGGCCTGGCCTTGGCGGCTGTCCTGGCCAACATCTTGGAAGCCCTGTGCTGTCGCCACGCTCCTCCCACAGCACCTTCACCCCCACCCGGACGCCAGAGCCTGGGCACTTACAACGAAGTCTCGGCCCCGGCAGAGCACCTCGGCGGGCACACCACTGTGAGGGCTGGAGGAGTCCTTGGGGTACAGGATGTCACTGCCAATGAGAGAGGTGGCGGGTCAGTCCCTGTCCTCAGTCCCATCTGCCTCCTGTCCCCTGTCCAGGCCTCGCAGCCCCCCATCCCCACCCCTTAGAGCCCCGCTTATCCCCAGCCTGGCTCTGTGAACACGTGTCGGAAAGAGACACACTCCCCTCCCCACCCCGAGTTCTTCTTCCTACCCCTTCTTTTTTTTTTCTTAACAAATAGGAATTCCAATCCATTGAGAGAAATAAAGCTTTTAGGTTCATTTTTGTCTTTGTTGTTGTGTTTAATCCTGAGCACCTAAGGATATTTTCTCCCCATTGATTTTTAGAAAGAGTGGAAGGGAGGGAGGGGGAGAGAGAGAGAGAGAGAGAGAGAGAGGGAGAGAGAGAGGGAGAGAGGGAGAGAGATGGATGGAGATCCACTGGTTGCCTCCGCACACATCCCGAACAGGGCCGGGGATCGAGCCTGCACCCGAGATACGTGTCCTTGTCTGGAATCAAACCTGAGACCCTTCAGCCCACAGGTGACGCTTTAACCACTGAGCCAAACCGGCCGGGCCCTCCTACCCCATCCTGACCCGACCCCCGCAACCACTACCACAACTGGCCCAGCCCCAAGGCCGCTGCGCAGGCGTGAAGGGGCCAGGGGCTCAGAGGCAGACATGGCCAGCCCAAAACTCTGGGAAAACAGTGGGTCCCATGTGGAAACCACATGCAAGCCCAAGAGAGACTGGTGATCGAGGGGTGAGGGGCATGGTAGGGACCTGGACAGGCCCTGAGCACCAGTGGGGAAGCCTGCGAGAAGGGGCCAGCATTAGGCTCAGAGAACTTCGGGGCCGAGGCAAATGCGCAGGCGTGAGGCTTTCTACACACATATCTACAGCACAACCCACCCCAGCCCACAGGCCTGCTGCCCAGGACACACTCACCATCCCCGCAATCCTACCTGACCACCAGCTACTACCCATCCTTGAGGTCGAGCTCCGTGCCCCCACCTTCCCATAAACACTCTCAGGACAGGGACAGGGACTTGGCCCCAGGCGCTCACTGCTACCACAGAGAGCAGGTCGCAGCTAAGCAGGTGTTGAATGAATGTGGCCCAGGCCCCGGACCTCTACGTTCTGTCCCGCTCGGGCCCCACAGATCGGAGGTCGGGGGCAGCGTGTGAATGACAATGCCCTGTAGGGCCCAGGACAAGCAGTCAGACACACCGGACAAATGTGTGACTGTTGCATCATCCCCTCACAGAACAACAGGGACAGGGCGGAAGGAGCCACAGGCCTTGCTGGGGTGGCCAGGGCAGCGTCAGGGCAGAGACCACAGCAGGACCCAAAGACCATGAAGGCCCAGTCACGGGGACAGACCACCAGCTGAAAGGGGCAGCCGCACCAGGGGCACATGTGGTGCTGGGCAAAGTTGCAACCCCAGCCGTGGCAGCCTCACTGCCAGGGGTTGGCAGTGTCTCTCTCTCTGGGCCAATGTCCTCCAGTGTATAACAGGACGGCCCCTGGCGCTCGTGCATGGGTGACAACACCGGGCCCCATCTAATGAGTGACGTGCACCGAGAAGATACCCAATGCATGTGCAGGGCCTGTGCTTCCCAGGGCGAGGGCGCCACCCTGTGGCCATGACATGAATATACTTTACAATTAATCAAATGGGTATTCATGGACTTTTTTGCAGTGAATTGTTTTTAAAAAATTGGTCTTAGAGAGAAAGAGAGAAGAGAGAGACAGAGAAACATCGATGTGAGAAGTATCAACTGGTTGCCTCCTGCATGTGCCCCGACCAAAGTGGGGTATGTGCCCTGACTAGGTATCGAACCCACAACCTCTTGGTGCATGGGATGACGTTCCAAGCAACGGAGCCACACTGGCCAGGGCCACAGTGCATTACTTTTATAAAAATTTGTAACAATTCACTCTTTAACAGCTTTTTCACTTTATATCACACTTTCTAAAAAGTGTGTACATTATACCATTTAGAACTCATATAATTGGAACGTGTACAAAATGTAGATAGCCACACCGTATTCACTAAGGGTCTACTCTGTGCCAGGCATACTGAGTACTGCGGACGTAAGGGCGTCAGTCAACAGGCAGTCCCACCCCCTTGAAACTGACAGTCCGATGCAAGAGGAATCTCAGGAAAAGAGAAACTGCTGAAAGACATCAAGTCATAAATTTAAACCTATGAAACCCAACAGGACACATCAAAAGTTCACCCTTAGACACACCTTCGTGAACTGTGGAAAGCCAAAGCAAGAGAGAATCTTAAAAGCAGCCAGAGGGAACCGAGCAGAGGACCTTTCGAGGAGCACTCGACAGGAGTGGGCTTGGCGGCCAGAACACAGTACGGAAAGCACGTGAGCTGCTGGGCCTTATGCCCAGTGGGGAGTCTCCTTCAAGAACAAGGCTGAAAGAGACGCTCACCCCCAGGCTCCATGGGAGAACCGCACAGCACTCCTGAGCAGAAGGAGCTCGGAGAGACACAGAAAGAAATAACGAACACAATCCAAAGGCAAATATGTGAGCAGATCGAAAGAATGCCAACCAGACACTATGTCCTGTGGGGTTTAAAGTAGAGAGAAAGACACTATACAACAGCATCTGAGTTGGAAGATAAATGTAAAACATTCTGAGTTCTTTGAATTATCCTGGATGAGGGCAAAAAGCAGCAATTAATATAAACTGAGACAAGTCACGAGTGCATGCTGAAATCTGTAGGGAATCACTAAAACAGTTACAAAAGGGTAACTTCCACATCAGCAGAAGAAAGAGAAGGTAAGAATATTAAATGCAATGTAGACAGATTTAACCCAAATATCAGCAACCATATTAAACATAAGTGGATTAAGTGCTCCCATTAAGGGGCTACAGACAACTTACCTCTTCACCACCCAATTTCCTTGGACTAACATCGCCACCTTCTGGATGCCACGCAGAACAGCCACGGAGTCCACAGAGGGGCCCAGGAGGCTCATCAAGTTGGCAAAAGGCATGACCTTCACTGAGGAGGCAGAGACATCAGACGGGGGAAGAGGAGCCTGGGCCCTTCCCTGTCCCCAACGGGTCTGCCTGTCCAGCTCAAAGAGCAGCCCAGCCCGTGACACCCAGGACACGGTGCCGTGGATCCTGAAGGCTAGGCCCATGAAGAAGACCAAGTGTCAGGAGGCGCTCCCCATTCTACTCGGGTCCAGAGGTTCAAAACTGCCCCGGATCACCTGGCTGGTCAGCGGCAGAGTTGGAATGAGATGCCAGGTCACCGGGGTCCAGAGTCCACGCACTTAACCTTGGTGCCCTGCTCACCCCGACTGCCTGAGCCTCCCCCCCTCAAGCAAGCAGGGCCGGGCCGGGAAGGCCCTCAGGTCTGCAGCCCCAGGCACAGCAGGAGCTCTGCTCTGCTCGGGCCCGAGACCTTGGAGTGGGCATCTCAGAAGAGCCCAGGACCTGGGACTCGGCTCTGAGGTTCAAGGCTCCTGTCTGCCGCTCATCGGCTCCAGGCGCCCACAAGTTCTGGTTTGCAGAATCCTCCAAGAAAGACCCGCCCTGCGTGGGCACCGTGCACTGCGCAGGTGAGCATGCCGAGGACGGCAGCTAATGGTCATGGGCAGAGCTTGGGAGCAGCCCCCGGAGCTACCAGTCCCTTCATAGATTCACAAAGGCTCAGGAAGGTGCTCACACAGCAGGGGAGGTGGGGGGAGCCCCGCCCTTAAGGGGCCGCCAGGTGCCTTGAAACTGTAAAACTGGGCAGCTCCAAGCAGAGGGCAGAAGGAGCCTCTGGCCTCAGCCCCTGGTCCTCAGTCTGTCCCCGACTCGGGAGGTGGAGGGGCCCATGAGCACCCACAAGCACCCACCGTTCTTCATCAGGATCTTGATCTGATCGGCCAGGGGCAGGGTGCGCAGCTGGGCCATGGACAGGACGTTGCTGGGGGCCACAGGTTTGTCTCTGTTAGGAACACAGGCAGCGGGTCAGAGGCTGGTCAGAGGACACAGAGCCCTGGGTGTTGCCCAGCCCGCTCTACTCACTTCTCCTCCTCCTGGCTGGGCGGCACCAACATCAGGAGGTACTCACTGCAGAGGGAGAGGGCAGGTCAGCGGCAGTCCCCAGGCTGAAGCCTCCTTGCCAGCAGCCAGAGGCCCAGCCCGCCCACAGCGCTCCCCCAGGCTCCCCAAGGGCCACAGTGCCAGTCCCACCTGGGCGACTTGACGAGCTCCGTGTTTTCGGCGCTGCTGCAGCCCTGGCACAGCAGGTACTGGCGCTCGTGCTCAGAACGGCTGTCCTGTGGGGGGACGGGGACCTGAGCTGAAGGCCCGCAGCCCTCCACCATCCAGTTCTCACCACTTGCCGCTCTAGCCACCCACTGTGCTGCCCCTCAGCAGCTACCTGACAGATTCGTGGCTGCACAGCACCAGCACGGTGCCTCAGTGCCTGCCTGTGACACGGGAACATAAAAGCAATGACAGCTAGCATTCAGTGAGTACCTACTGTGTGCCAGGCTCTGCACCAAAGGCCGTAATTAACACCAACTCACCTATCCTCAAAATAATGCCACCAAGTCAGGTCCTATTATTATTCCCATTTTATAGATAAACAGATTTAGAGAGCTTAGGTAACTTGTCTAGGTCACACACTAGGAAACAGCAGAGCTGTTTGGCCCTGAGGCAAAGCTCTGTCAACACAAATCTCTCCCAGGAAGGTTCCAGAAAAACGCTGGGAGCCCTCGCCTGGGGGGTGCAGGGAGCTAAAATTCAGTTGCTTCCCTCCTCCACACAATTTCAAGAACTAGATCCAGAGTCAACGCACGAGGTGAAAGCGAGCACAGTAAGGCACCTCGGCAGTTCCACGGCGAGCTGGGCCGTGTGACACGGCCGACTGCACGGAGCACAGGTGCAGTGTGCCCGAGGTTCAGGGCCCACAGTGCGGGGAGGACAGGTAAGCAGACAGAAGCCCCACTCCAAGCCGAGCAAGAGGCTCGCTCACGCTGGGGCGCTGGGGCTGCACCAGGACCGGAGCGGTAGCCCATGCCTCCCTCTGGGGTAGAGTGGACACGAGTCAGGGCACACTGCCTGCAGGATGTGATCCCCTTGCCCTGGGTGTTAGCAAGTGGGCACGACTGAACCTCAAGTGGGGAGAGGCGACACAATGAGGCCACACTGCAGTCCTTCCTGGCACCGGCTCCCCGGACCGCTCACCCGCAGGCCGTGGTAGTGCAGGTGGACCCAGGGCTCCTCAGCATGCTTCTTCTGCAGGAACTCGTAGGACTGCACGCGGCGCTGCCGAGCCTGCTCCGACTCGGGCCGGGAGAACCGCACCTGGGGACAGGAGGGGAGGCCTGATGGCCTGGCACTTCCTGGTCTGCGGTCCCAGCCCCCTAGGAGGCCACATCGGGGGTACTTCCCACTGCCACCCTCCCCTCATGTCCTCACAGGTCTTTTAAATTCAGTTCTGACCATGTCCCTCTGTGACCTGCCAACACAGGCCAGGGAGCAGCTTTCTCCGGGTCACCACCTGCCCGCACCCAGTCCATTTCCACTCTGCCTGGTGGCAACCCCCCATTCTCCTACGAGAAACACCAGTTCCCTCTTAGTTCCTACCTAGTATCCCTCCCCCCAAACACACATTCCCAGCGACAGCGGTGGGCAGGCGGCTCAGGCCTGGGAAATCTGAGCAAATCTCCTGGAGCACAGGTGTCGGCTAAACCTCGGAGTCCCTTCTGACACTTTCTCAGAAGTAATGAGAAAGACGTTCCTTTGCCCCGGGGGTCCTGGAAGCTGGGAGGATGTAAGCCTGGAGCTGGGACAACTCTCTCTACCACTGGGGACAGACACCTGGCCTGAGAAAGAGGCCAAAGAGGAAGACTACACCTAGTGATGGAGAAACCAGGTCTCATAACAGAGCCTGAGCACCTGAATGCAGCCATACCCGAAGTTACCCCTCAACTTTCACTAACAAGAACCAACTGGCTCCCTTCTTACCCACGCCATTTACATCTGGCCCCTGCTGCTGGGGTCCAGGTGGAGCCAAGCGCGAGTCACTTCTCTGTGAAAGGGGCGCTGGACACTTCCTGGGCTGCCGGACTCTAAGGTCCTACAGGAGGCCTTGAAGGCACACAGGCCTGAGAACGCCCGGCTAAAGGGCCAGAGAGCACCCAGGAGGGGAAAGAGGTATCCAGGTCATCCAGCAAGCTACTGGGAGGACACATGCATCCCCATGTTGGTTATGCCAGAACCCATCAGCCTCCAAGGCTATGCAAACGCCCACAGCTTTAGCCACCTATGTACCATCCATCTCATTTGTGCAGTATTTTAAATACTGACTCATTTAACCTAAATATACTTAAATGGGGGGAGACTTTATAAGGTCAATATTTGAAAGGTCAATATTCTTCCTACAATCTCTGAAATGCAGGAATAACTATTGAGACAGAAGCGCTTCAAACCTGCACCACCGGAGACAGAATCACACAGTCACAGGGCTGTGGCCCATGGCAGACAATGTTCGCATGTGCGTGGGACCCCTATGCCCTGGCTTCCTCTCCGAGCTAGTCCAGGAAGCCAGGATGCCATCTCCCACACACGCAGGGCCGCGGTCCTGCCCACCGCTGGGATAGCTCAGCAAGGCAGAGGGTCCCCATTCCCTGGGTGTGGTCACCCTGCAGGCAGCCCAGCAAGAGGGCCCTGAGGAGCGGTTGTTCCTGCATGTTTCACCAGAGCGCACCCTCTGCACAGACCCCCTGCTCCTTGCTCTCCAGACCACTGTGCTGCAAAGTGGCCCTGCTGCCCCTCTGCCCACATCCTCCCTCTGGGGCTGGGCTCACCGTGATCTGCTTCACATCTTCCTCTGCCTCGTCCTGCGAAGAGTCCCCCGCTGCGAGAGAAACAGGCTGCTCACAGCCTTGGAGACCTCCGCTCCCGCCCT